AAAATATAGATCAAGAGCTCCAAAATGATATATAGCTTGCTAAAATTGGGTTCGAAACAGCGAAGAAAAGGGTACCAGAGCCAAATGCCCCGCGCCCCGCGTTTGGGGTAGCGAGGTAGCGCGCAGCGCGCGGAGACGCAGACGAGCAGCGGAGACAGACCAGAGCCGACGGGGCATTTGGCTCTGGTCGTAGATCTCGTCGGGGTCTCAACGAAACCCTGTAACATTGTATATCATTCTGACCGTCATGACACGACGAGGAGAGCTGACAACGTCCCAAGCTTTAAAAGTCACTTACTAACGAGATAGACCAGCATTTCCTTGCGCGACTCTCTGCATACAATTAAACGCAGTTTCTCATTATAATTCAACTCCAACAGCTTTCCAAACTTTTGAAACTCATTTTTGGTCAAGTAAGAGGCTAACTGAGGAACGTTGTCCTGAATTCTGAGGAAATTTTCACAGAAATTCTCTTTTCAGCGTAAAAAAGGCTTGAAAAAAGCAATTTCTCGGTTTCGCTGAGACATTCTTCAGATATTCCTTCCTATATTTGGTTCATCACATTCTTCCGAGAAAGTCAGGATAATAACATCCTGGGCTTCGCCCCGGATGACTTCTGTTTTTTTCCCAGGTGAAGGTTGTGTCCCCTCATAGCCCTCAAAGTGAAGGTTACCAGAGTATGTCGCTCTATGTATCGAAGGTATGGCCCAAATGATTCCGGGGAGAGTCCAGTGACTCCGAAAGAATATCAAATAGTTTTACTTTTTGTAATTCATTTAAGAGCAAGTCAACAAGCTGTAATGATTGGTAAGAGAAGTAAATTGATTAGACCTGAACTAATGTAATAGCACGATATGGGTTAGTAAGACATTTGAAAGAAAATAATATTTGGAAAAAACACGAATTGATGTGTATTTGGCACGCATTTTGTGGTCGGATAATGTAATCGCACCTGGCCAGTTATAGCAATACAGATGACGAATTGGTGCTATTCATTACTCATTCTCAGAATGCCTCAAACGTAAGAGATCAAGTGTGTTGATTCTGTGTTTAAAAACGTTCGTGCTCTGAGATTGTAAAGTATCTGGAATCTTTTAATGAATCTTATTGTGTTAGATTTGGTGCTTTGAGCTCTAGCCACGAAATAGCTTTGACATTTAATTGAGCAACTGAAGCAGACGCAAGCACCATATTCAGTACAGTGGGAGTCGTTCGACGAAGCGAACATAATATCTGCAACGAGCGTCATACAAGCGCTCACGGAGGAATTTCGACGAGATATGCGATCTTTACATTTTGGGCAAAATTCATGAGAACGTGTTTTCGTGGGCTCGTAACTCGGCGAATTTCACAGATTGGAGCCTGAGACATGCACTATTCGATAGCACAATTCCTAGTAACTTTGATTGAGAAAAGCAAGCAGGCAAGGTTTTTAACAGATACGCGAGAAGTGCGGTCAAAATTACGCACTTTCGTGACGCAGTTACACTCACCTCACCGTATCTATCCAAAAAGACCGTGTAATCCTCAAAAACCACGACTTTCGTAAAGAGCGTGTTCGAAAACCTCTATAAGCGAAGTTTCCCTACAATTCAAGAGCATCAACATTTTGACCAAAATCCACCGGCGAGCTTCCGGAGCATAAAAGGGGAAAAAATGGAATAACCCGAACATAACGGAAAACTTGCTCGTAGAGGCTATGCGACCTGCTGATTTCGACTCACATCTGCTTAGCAAGATAGCTTCGTATCCTGCGGATAGAGTAGAATTTGGAACAACAAGATTTTCCCACAATTCACTCGCCGTCTACTTCCTTTGATAAAAAACCTGCGGCTACTATTTAGCACATTATAATCTGCAGAAGAAAGTGCTATCGAAATATCCTTGCTGGAATGTACACGGGACAATGCTCGCTGCTTTACACCTTCGCGAAAAGACGTCCTCAGAAAGATTCAAGAATACTGAAATCGAAATATCAAGGACATGCTGTATATGATAAGATTCACCTTAATGAGCTGAGAAAGGCGCTGTTTTCAGATTAGAAATATACTTGTTCCGAAGGAAGTTATGGCGAGTAGAAGAAAACGCGTGATTTTTCCGAAATTCACCAACGCTTCTATCTCCTTTGAAAAGAAGTCTGAGCCTACTTTTTAGCGCACAATTATCTACAAGAACAGTATTATGGAATAGTACTTAGTAAAGTCTTCTATATTGGGTAGGCGTTGCTTCACATATTCGCGAATGGACCTCCGCAGAACAAATTGAAAAAACTGAAAACGGAATATCGAAAACATCGTACCCCCACTTCCAATACATCAGAAGATTCTCCGCGCCGAACTGAATCGAATGGTGGCTTTGGATTCAGAATTCGTCCTTTCTGCGAAATATGGCCACGCGACGCTGATGTATGGACATGTACGGACATGTACGGACATGTCCATACATGTCCATACATTCGCGTCTATTTTAAAAAATGTGAGCGGTATTGTACACAACGTTCATGCGAATAAAAAGCAGAAGATATCCGGACGAAGATCGGATTTTAAGATCATAACTGCGTCGGAATAAGTGTGAATAAAACAAGTACGGTAAATCAATACAATATCCTAAAAATATCAATGCAAAAGGAAACACTGCGTCTTTATAGTTCTACGTTACAAAGAGAGTTTCTGTAAAATCTTCTCAAATCAGGACTACATTTTCTCACTTAACCTCTCTTTAGATTACAATTGAATTTCAAAATTTCAGGGAAAGCTGTCGGAATTCAACCAAAGCATTAAAGCGCGCCTAAATCTTGGATGAAGACTCGAGCACAAAATTGCTGGTTTTTCTCGTTAAAAAATGTTTTTCGACATTCGAAACGTTATCAGTGTTCCTGCCATATGGCGAGCAGAATGATGTGCATAATGTTGCAAGGTTCCGTTTAGACCCCGCGGAGATTTGCGACCATAGCCAAGTGCCCTATCGGCTCTGATCTTGCTCCTCTGCTTGTCTGCGTTCTCGCACCCTGGGGCCACCTCTCTACCTCAAACGCGGGGCACGGACCATTTGACTCTGATACTCTTTTCTTCGTTGCATTGGATCCAGTTTTAGCAAACTGTATATCAGTTGATGCTTTCGGTCTCTACTTTCACGCTGGCAACATCCCAAAACCTTATTTTTCGATCTGAACGAAAAACATGACAAGAACCGTGATTCCAAAAACTCTTGTTTCTTCTCTAGTTCAGCTCTTTTCGCTCCTTTTTTCGTGCATTCGATAGAAACTGCTTCTATCTAAAATGTAGACAACGTCCCAGAGCTTACTCAGACAATCGACCGGACCCCTCCGCCGGACAGTCCGAATCTGCCAGAGTCGCGCCGGACCCAGTTGACCAATGAGAGAGGGGCAAATGGGCGGTCCGTCGCGGTGACATCACTGGCAGGCAAGTGGGAGGCTTCTCCGGCCCTGCTGCAAAGGTACGCCATTCCGGCGCGGCTCTGCCACATTTGGCAGAGCCGCGCCGGAGAAATTTGCCCGGCGCGAGTCCGCCAGATTTGGAAGAGCCGCGCCGCAGAAAATGGGAGGTCTCCGGAGCAGAAAATGGGAGGTATCCGGAGCAGAAAATGGGAAGCCTCCGGAGCAGAAAATGGGAGGTCTTCGGAGCAGAAATGGGAGGGCTCCGGAGCAGAAAATGGGAGGTATCCGGAGCAGAAATGGGAGGGCTCCGGCGGACAAATGGGAGACCCACCGCTGGGGAAACGCCGCGACCCAGCCATTTCTCCGGCGGAGGGGTCCTATCCGTTGCCTGAGTACATCTACGATTATGGCGGATATTTATGTGAAAAATCGTTGAAAGCATGTTTTTCCTACCAGTTTTCTTTCAGTGTTTTCGCAACAATTTTTTTTTTCAAGTTTGACGTTTACAGCTCAGAATAATGAGCGCAACAATCCAGACAACGCATAAGGACGTCAATGCTAGGGTAAAAAACAAAGGACGCATCAAAAACCAAATTGGCTTTGGCTGCATTTCCACTTATTGTTAGTAATATCAAAACTGTGCGTTTTCATAAATTTTTTGTTTATCCTCTTCTTGATGACCATCACTTTCGACTGTTATTTTGAAACAAGCCCAAAGAAACATTAGCTTTTCCTAGATTTCCCCCGTGTTGTGGATTGCCTGGTCCTGGAGCGAAAACCTGCACTTTGAAGAGCCGCCAGCAAAGATTTTAAATTCCTGCAGGCGTAACTGCACATTCACCGGCATAGTGAAACAAAGTGTGAAACTCTTAGGACAGCTGAAGGATTGGGGGGATACACTTTAACAACACAAGTGCTGGTTGATTTACGGCAAGATAAAGCAAAGTCACAAACTAATTTTCGTTCAAAGCTGCGGTCCAAGCAGTGCCGCAATTTCGCATTGTGTACCAGTTTTGGTGATTGAACAAAACACAGATAACACATTTCTTTCAAAATTCATTGCTTTTGCTTTCAAACAATATCACATCGGGAAGCCTCAAATTCTTCAATTAAATGCAGCTCATTGCTTTTCTCTAGTAATAAATATAAATAAATGTGCGAAAATTGGATTCCTCAATCATGAACAACATTTGCTTTCTGGCTAGGTGTTATGTTTGTTGTTGTGTTTTCCCTTTAGGTCGAATTGCAGTGATCATTCTAGGCACTATCCACTGCACTCTGTGCTTCGTCAGACAACACTTGTAGCCCTAATGCCTTCAATAGGCACTTGCTCACATAAATGAAATCGGATCACCTACCAGTGGTCAGTTTATTTGTTCCAATCTAAACGCATGTGTTGCAGCACAGAAAAAATTTTTTCCATAAGTTCTTTTTCATATTTTTTGACTCCATAAGAATTATTTTGGGAGGGACATAGGAAATATTTTGCGACAAACAAACGGCCAAATGGTCATTGTTTTGGCCATGCCTCTGGCTTGCTTTAATTTTTGGTTTTTCGATTGCGGAAGTTATGATGAAGCTAAGAAATTGAAGGCGAAGACAGATGACGCAACGCGATGCTGGAATTGTGCTCGGGATAGTAGAGGGGTGACTTTGCTCTAACCAGTTGATGTCAGAACTCCAAATAATGTGAATGTTACAGTGATTCGCCAGTGAAACGCACAGAAGCAATTTGGGGCAAAGAAAATCATTCTATTTATGATCAGGTGAAACTTTCAAAAAACGTTCAGCACTGCACATAAACTGTTCTGGTGATGTATCTTAATGATCATAACATATCATCGGTAATGATATGCTTTGCATTGGCGATCCGAGAAAATACTTGGTGTGAGAAGTACATAACATATGAAAAAGGCGACGTAGCGGCAGCCACGAAAAAAAGAACTATTTGGATTCTTCACAAGTGAGAAATAGTCATTTGCGCAACTACATCTATCAAGTCATAAACAATAGTAGCGATTTTTCGCAATCGCGCGAGATATCAGCGAGGACTAAAAAGGAATCGCTGCAAGCGCAAGTGTGGTCACCAAAGAAGAAAGATTTTTATATTGCTTATAATCGGGAATCTGAAAGAAGAGAAAATGTAGTAGTAGTAATAGTAATACTATAATTTGTAGTTACCTCAAGAACTAGACCGCAGAATTACTATGGCGCATCCTGCAGACGGTTCGCTGTACAAAACGGTTTCTGAAAAAGACTTTCACCCTCAATATAGAAGACTGAATGGTACGTGGTCTGCGATAGGAAAATCTGCCGGATGACGACAGGTTTATAGGTCGGCTAAATGTCCAGTCTTCTATAGTCTCATAAGGACGCATAAACTATGCTTGCAAGATACTACTTCGTTGTCGGCTGAAACTTGAGATCAGCCCCATAATCAGTGACGTAGGCGGCCCTCGATGGAATTGCTTGGTTTTTGAATAAAATTCTAAGTCAGCTGCTAGTAAAATACCAGCTCATCCACCCAACACGAAGGACTTTATCGAACAAATCCGAAACACAAAGTCTGATCTGCAAAGTTAATTGAGTCACTCGATGTGGCCTCCCTTTATACAAATGTTCAAAACCATAAAACTTTGCAAGCACTATCGGAGCTGTAAGATAACATGCTGGATCTATCAACTTCTATGGACTTATCAAGATGCGAGTTATGACCCTAGTGAGCGAGTGTTTACGCTACAACATCTTTGGATGGTCTGGTTTACTACTTCCAAATTCGCGGGCTAGCTATGGGTCAGAGATTAGCACCGGTCCTCACCATACGTTTTATGAGCAAAGTTGCAGAGCCTGTGTTAAGTCGAATGCCGCTGATTACTTTCTTACAGGGGGAAGCTACCTAACTTAGCTCGCGCTTTCTGAATAAGACACATATATTTGGAATCACCTTGGAATGCTGATGCCAAATATGCTGTTCTCAGGTGCCACGCATCATTCGGAAAGGAGTTACGAGGACCTCTTTCCGTTTGACTCCTCCAACGGCAAGTCTAGGGCAAACTCGACAATGACTAACAGAGGTCGTGTGGTAAAGTGGTAAGTGTCTCGCTTCGTACGCTGAGGATCCAGAATTCGAGTCCTATTAGGCGTCCTTCGTTTTGCAAGCCCTCGAAAGTGTTCATTAGACAGACTAAGAGTAATTCACGATCAGATTGGGGCGTAGCAGTTTCACCACAAAAATTAAATTAAAAAAATATTAAAAAAACAAAGCAAACCATAAATTTTACCATGAAATTTCACCATAATCGTCTCCGGACCATACAGGATCTTCTTCATCCTCCTCCATCATCCATACTGACCAATGAACATTTTCGAGGGCTTGCAAAACTGAAAACGTCTAACAGGACACGAACCCCGGACCCTCAGCGTACAGAGCGAGACACTATCCACTGTACCACACGTCCTCTGTTAGTCATTCTCGAGTTTGCCCTAGACTTGCCGGTGGAGGAGTCAAACGGAAAGAGGTCCTCATAACTCCGTTCCGAATGATGCGTGGCACCTGAGAACAGCATATTTGGCATCAGCGTTCCAGGCTGATTCCAAATATATGTGTCTTATTCAGAAAGCGCGAGCTAAGTTAGGTAGCTTCCCTCTGTAAGAAAGTAATCAGCGGCATTCGACTTAACACAGGCTCTGCAACTTTGCTCATAAAACGTATGGTGAGGACCGGTGCTAATCTCTGACCCATAGCTAGCCCGCGAATCTGGAAGTAGTAAACCAGACCATCCGAAGATGTTGTAGCGTAAACACTCGCTCACTAGGGTCATAACTCGCATCTTGATAAGTCCATAGAAGTTGATAGATCCAGCATGTTTATCTTACAGCTCCGATAGTGCTTGCAAAGTTTTATGGTTTTGAACATTTGTATAAAGGGAGGCCACATCGAATGACTCAATTAACTATGCAGATCAGACTTTGTGTTTCGGATTTGTTCGATAAAGTCCTTCGTGTTGGGTGGATGAGCTGGTATTTTACTAGCAGCTGACTTAGAATTTTATTCAAAAACCAAGCAATTCCATCGAGGGCCGCCTACGTCACTGATTATGGGGCTGATCTCAAGTTTCAGCCGACAACGAAGTAGTATCTTGCAAGCATAGTTTATGCGTCCTTATGAGACTATAGAAGACTGGACATTTAGCCGACCTATAAACCGTGCGTCATCCGGCAGATTTTCCTATCGCAGACCACGTACCATTCAGTCTTCTATATTGAGAGTGAAAGTCTTTTTCAGAAACCGTTTTGTACAGCGAACCGTCTGCAAGATGCGCCATAGTAATTCTGCGGTCTAGTTCTTCAGGTAACTAAAAATTACTATTAGTACTACTATCACTATTACTACATTTTCTCTTCTTTCAGCACCAACAACCCAGTTTGGCATAACGCGGCTTATTCTAAAACTTCGTAAATACTTAGGTCAAAAGTGTTGAAAGGCTGAAGTCGCCGTATTGCAAGACGAGAATAGCCGCAAATCAACTTTCATTTAGAACTCCATGCATTTCAAGTGGCATCCACACAGTTACATTAAGCTGACAGAACAAAAAGAAGTGCGTCCCTCTCAATACACACTGTTGCTATGCTTTGTGTATAGTTCAAGTAAATGTTCACCAAATTTTTAATTTGTTCCCTATCTGTTGCTCAATTTGTAGTGGATATAAATAGATGCTTAAACAAAGCCATGATTGAGCATGAGAAATCTCTGCTTATTCGCTGTAAGTATTATTCCATTCATGATCAAGATAATGGAATATTTCAGGCATTGACTGCTACATTCTGCTCAGTTGCAGAGAAGCCTTGCAAACGCAATCCATTGAGTAAAGCAATAATAACTGAGATAACTTGGCGTGGAAATCTAAATGTGGTTGGTTCAAAAAATCATTGAACAAGAAAATCACGCAGATATCTTGCACGCTCTACAGGATTTATTTGAGCTTTTCTAAATGTCTTTTACAGCAATATGACTGCAAAAGTCACCGCTTAGCACGTCGTTTGAAATCAGCCTCAAACATCACGAATACTGGCGTCGTATACAGTCCCATCAGAAGCGAGAGGTAAATTTCATTTTAGTCTTCAAGTGTAAATGAATTACCTTTTCAAATTTACAGTCCCCGTCCTTTAGTGCTTGCTGACCTATTCTGGAGACGGGAAAAGATTGTGGTACAATTTCACGTAAGTAGTTTTCAAACAACTCCATTCAGAATGGCGCTCGGAATTTCAAAATAATTTTTCCTCTTTCCTCTATCTCGATGTTCGCCCAAAGAACAGCAATCCATTATATTCTCAGCTGGTTTTCAAAGTTTCCTACCTCCCAAAAATCTCTGACTATTTAGGTGCTTGCTGGAAGAAATGGAGTTGGTTGTGCCAGCAAAATACTTGTCAAGGAGCGTCCAGAAGAAAAGCTAATCATCTGTGTATTTAGAAAAACGGGAAGGAAGAAATTCAACAATTTCGAAGAAGAGCGTTCTAAAGAAATCAGAGAAGAGCAAACTAACATTATCGATGAAAAGCATTCCAACAGCGCAGATGATATCGTGTTGGCTTGAGTGATCCACTATAAATTTTTAATTTTTTGAAGTTTTTTAATTAAATTTATTTATACATTTTAACTTGTTGTGACATTTTCCTGTGCCATTTACACATAAACCTTTAATTATTAATGTTGACTACGCTTAAAGACATAGACTTGTTCATGTACGCTTTGAAGTACATTTTACTGTGCTTCAAAATGTCCAGACCGCCTAATTCGAAAGTACTCATTGTTTCATGTTTTCATTCACACAAAATTAAATGAGATTACTCTTTTCCACTGTTTTGCTCGTTATTATTTTGGTGTAATGAGAACAAGAATGTTTCGAGTACGTTTTCAAAATTTGGAAAAGCTACGATAGCTCAACGACAATTGAATTCGGGGCGCTGTTCGGCTATAAAACCCCGAGATTTCTTGCCGCGATTTTCGCTCAAACTTGGTCCAAGGGTCTCTGACATGCTGATCACAAAAATCGCACTTCTTCCGCACGAAAATCCCCTCTTTCTCCTCTCCCCCCCCCCCGTGTAGTTACGGTAGGTGTAAGGCAAGGGGTCCAGATCATGGATTTGCTAGAAAACTTGCCTAGGGGGGAGGGGGGTAATTGGCAAGTCAAACATGAATATATTGAGGAAATCGCATGCTAGCACGATTTCAGCTTACAATGGTTGTACGGTAAGTGGCTCAAAATTTCAAAATGGCCAAAACTCTGTCTAGAGGGGTATTCCAGCACGCTGATAAGGAGTAACCAACTTGGACCAATTCTAAGCAAAATTCATGACGGAAATACTTCCGGTCTGGCTAGCGAATAGCGCCGGTTTGAGACGATCCAATGTGCCTGTTTCACTTATTGGTCAAAAAATGCAACTTTGGTTGCGATGATTGGGCAAGACATGCTAAATACCCTTTGATTCAACTGGCTTGGCGACTGGAAGACGGGGTTTCGTGACCTATTAAGGCTAGGTAATGATCAAAGAGCACGTGCGAGGGAGAGGGGCAGACTGCGTAGCAAGTCAAGCGGCCTTAACTAGGTCACAAAGCCCGTCTTTCAGCCGCCAAGCCTGTTGAATTAAAAATTATGTATTACTTCATTGTGTTATGATGTACATGACGAATTTTCTCGAGTTTCCTGCTCTAACATGATAGTAAGGTATAATAGGAGAAGCTCTGTATTTATATTCGTATGTGGTCACCTGCCCAAACACCAAAGACCACCCATACTGAATTGCAGAGATTCCGACACTCGAAGTGCATTGCCTGGCTTTGAATATCAGATAACAGTTATAAATGAATATATGCCAGCATCCGCAGTGCCATTTTCTTCAAAAAAAAAAAGGAACACTGAGCCATGTCACTTCTGCAGTCATCACAAGAATGTGCTATTCATGAATTTGTGCATGAGTGAATATTCTACAAGGTTCTATCCCATATCGCAATAATGTATCTTAGTCTGTCGCCGCACTCTGCCTGACTACCCTCATTTTCCAACGGTAGAACTGTGCAGTTTCTCAGAAGTAATTTTTAAAGAGCTTACAGTGCAAAGTTTTTATTTCCGCCTGCAATTTTTCTGCAAAATCTGTCAAAAAAAAATACCTTATAGAGCCAAATGATTACAGCAGATAATAAGACATATATTTCTTCCAGTTCAGGTGCCTTTAGTGATGGTAGCAGATTGCACATGGGATCATTTAAGGAGTTGTATCCTATAGAGGCTGTGATTTTTGTTCTGATTTTCGAGATTTTCGCTTTTCATACTGTGAATGCTCGACAGTGCTTTTGGGGTGGGTATCTACTTTCCCCTCAAGACTCTTTTCATTCAAGTTACATAATACGTAGGACGATCTCGTGGCCGATCCGCTCCACTACATTTTGCAAACTGCAGTCGATTTGGATCGGATTACTGTATCAAGTGAGTACGTGCGTCTTTTCTTGCACGAAGAGACATATAGCATGCTTAAATTCCGTTGAGAAAGCATTGTTGCTTCTGGCAGTTTTTAATCTTGAATTATGCCTGAATTGATAACAAGCTTAGGCTACGCTTCAGGATTGCAAACTTTCAAAAAGTCGGCAAAGAGAGATTCAACAAGTATGGTTGCGACGACCATAGATTATGTTCAGTGAGTTGAGCTTTGATAATAATAAGAATCAAATCAACTTCGCTTGCAGGAGCCTGTTTGCAAGAAAATGTTAGTTCCCAAGAGAGAGAAAGAATACGAAGTGTGTTGCTGTGACACGGATTATTGCAACTCTGCTCCAGTACCGAATATGCAATTGATAGCGATTATTGTGGTACTAATGAGTATGACGGCTTTTACTAATTAATATTTCAGCTTTGTTATTTCAATTTATTTCGCTATCGAGCTTACATAGTATGATAAAGCAAAATAAACGCTCCACCATTAAATGAGATTTTTCGTTCCTATAAATAATTTAGCGAAACATCTTCCCTTCTTTGATGGAAGACTTTCCCAAAATACTGAAAATGCCGTGATTTAGGATGACAATAAAATATGGATTCTCGAATAGATGTCCCAAATTGAAGAGACTTTGGTAAATGTGCTAAAAGCGCGGTATCTGATTGATGGCAGATTTCAGGGAGACGGTCAAAGGCGCGATTTCTCCGGCTGTCACCAACCCAAAACTCCAGTCTAGTGTTATGCGAGTCTCTAAAAATTACCAGGTAAAGTGCGTTGGCTTACTACCTGTCTAAGGTTACCACTTGCTGAGTTTCATGGTTTTTGCTTTAAAACAAATTGAGATATCTACGAATTTGTTCTTACATGCATTTTCATGGGTTTTTCACCTTAAAAATTGCTGTTTTGATTTTTTTCTGAATATAAAGGTTGAGCAACCCATGCAACTATCTAATACATCTTTTTCTGAATTTCATATACTTTTAGAAAGTTGTAAAACACTTATTATGTGCTACTTGGTGTCCAGCTGGCAATAAAAATCGCGCCTCTTGACATACACCCGCCATCAATCATATAAAATTCCCAAGTCAATGCATGGGTTCTTAATTTTTATTTTGTTGGCATACTCTGTCCTCATGGATGTTCAGGAACAAAAAAGTAAATGCACCAAAACTAGAACAAATAAATTCGAATGCTATTTACACGCAGAAAACAACAAGGAACAACAAATAAAGCAAGTAAATATCCGCAAAACACTGAAGACAAAAACTACTGCATCCTATTCTGACTCACGACTATCTTCTAGTCATTCTCTTCCCGTTTATATTGTTTTGGCGTCGGAGCCACCTCCATTCCTAGCTTATCCCACTGATTGATTAGATTTTGATCCAGTGGTGCTGCTTCTTCCAATGGTACGTTACCAGGAGGAGAAACGAAATAATTATCTCTTGTTAGACTAGCGTTCGACAGTACCTGAAAATAGCCAATTTTCAAAGCTCTGTGTATTTCAGATAGTCCCAACCTGTTTTATAGTCAGTGGTTCCTCGGGCATGTCTTCTCGCAAGGGACACTGTTGATCTTCCCAAACTGTGTACATGGGATCAACATCCTGCAAGAAAATGCTAATATCTTTAGAATATAAATGCAGACAGGAAGCCCTATGCATATTTTCTTCTGCTAAAGGCATACCAAATGCTCGATAACTTTTATGTGCAAAATTTTCAATCAAAACCAGTTCAAATCGCTGCGCTTGATTTGTTGAAATCAAAAAAAAAAGCAAAGCCAGTTTCATTTAAGTCACGGAGTCCATCCTATGATGTGGCCATTACCTATTTTTACTTACCGTGGTATCAACTTCTCGCATAGCCATAGCCGCCTTTACCGCTGCCTGCAGATGGACCACGGCTTGTTCATCGTCGAACCGAACAAGTGAAAGTGATTCCAAGTGTGACAGAAGTTCATGGCTGAATGTAGGCTTCGTCGGGACTGACTCAACCTAAACATAAGTGAGAAGCATACCGAACTCAAGCAATTACGTTGACTAGGCATTGAGTGACTGAACCCACTGTAGTGTTTATATATTCAGAAGCGCTCTCAACTAAGCAGTAAAGCTTAGCAGGTAAGGTTACATACGTTATTGACATCCGGTTTCGGAGGAACGAGCGGAAGATCACCCGGGTATGGCGACTTGGCTGAACACATGAGGGGCGGACATAATCGGATCAAACAGCGACCTGTGACGTTCATCTGAAAACGATGTGCAGACAATGACTGTGGCAGCATATCCTCCCCCTCTTTTCCTTTTTTCTCTCTCTCTCCTCTCTCATTATAGAATCGCAGAATAGGTAAAGTGAGAACACCTCGGCTATTCTGACTCCAAAAATAGAACTGGCCCAAACTCCCTCTAGGGTTTATCCTACATGTTGGTATGGAGATGGCACTCTATTTCTGAAAATGGGTTTAGTAGGAGAGGCCTCAAGATTCAATTGCTAGAAATCTGCATAAAGGCAGTGTCCGGGCAAAATGGGGGTTCTGAGATTTCTCTGCCATGTGAAAGTAGCCCCCCTGAGACAGAACATCGCGCAACTGCGAGCATAAAACGTTCGACCTAAGGCCCCGGGCAGACTTCAAGCGATTTGATCGTCGCGACTGAGTCGCGACGAGACAACTGTTACAACATCATTCCATGCCGATCAACTTGCATTCGGTTGTGATACTTTTCCAGACCGAAATTTTTGAACGTGAAATGAAAATGAATGGAAATCTTGGCGATTAGATCGCGACGATTAAGTCGCGTGAAGTCTGACCGGGGCCTAAAGCAAGAAAAACGATTGCAAATTGGGGAAACTTACGCCTTGGGGCGGGGTCCTCCGAGTTGTTTGAATTCCTGCCAGACGGCAGAGTACGTATGCCGCCACAGTTAAAAACCGTGCGCTCTTTGCAACCTCTGCGTCTTAGCCTGGCGGGGATCCCCAAATTTCGAAATGTGAGGACTTGGAAAATGCATGTTCTCGCCGTTTTCGCGCCTTCTGATGTGGATTTTCGGATTCAGCGTTGCGGATAACCCCAGATAAGTTGATTTTTTAGAAGTCGAGTTTCTGCCCGGACACTGCCTATAAGGGAGATTTGGCGTGATGATACATTTTATTGCAACGTTACGTGAGTACCGTGCCTAGTTATGCAAAAAAAATCCCCGCTAAGCAAGACGAGCGCCCCTCGTGACCAGCACTTCAGGCAACCCATTTGGCCACATGGATGGTTTCATTCAATCATCATAAGGCTTGTGCGAATAAGACACAAATTTTGACCTCAGTGACCAAATAGGGCCGAGAAGTGTTTTCATGCTCAGAGGACTAAGAAGGTTCAGAATGAGACGCATTAAACATCCTTTGAAGAAAAAAATCAGACTGTAAGGAAAATGGCGAATAATCTCCAGCAGCGTTTTGTACTAAGGTATTATATCGTTTTGAAAGGTCTAGACAGAAAATTTCGAAAATATTTCGTACGTCATAAGCTCACTGCGGCCGTACGTACAATTAAACGTATATTTGGCCGAATTAGATTGCTGCAGTCAGATAATATGAAATGAAGAAGCTAAGCAACATTTCAAACTGTAAGTTTAAGCGACTGAAGACTTAAGAGACACGAAATCCGAAGCTAGGATCCTAAAAAACGGCAGAATTTAGCGAAACTGATAGGTTTGCAACGCTGTGCTGCTCGTCACACTGACAAGGATAAAAGTAAAATATTTGGCGTTTCCAATAACCTCTGCGGGCATGCGCCAAACGAACCCAACTTCATTGTCGAAGAGATACTGAATGCGTGCGGAACTATTACAGTGACTTGCGGAAGCCAGCCGACTACAAGGCAGTGCTTTATACTCCCAAATAACACTGGTACCAACTTACTGACCCCGGAGGGTAGAGGGCTTAGTTGGCCCAGGGGCAGAATCGAAGCGGCCGATCTGGTCATAGCGGCGCCCCATACCACTATGCCTCACACATACTAACATTCAAAAACAACGGAAACATCAAGAAAGGCAAACAAATTTTACAACCACTGAAAAATGGGTTGGGGCGAAAAACGAGCCATCCATCTGAGTCAATATTGATAATAAAAAATGCCAGAAAAGTATTGAAAACAGAATAATACTACTGAATAAACCCACTTCTCGTCCTGCTTTGAACCGACTGCTTCAAATTTTAACGGCCTAAAAACACATACAAAACAAAAAGACGATATATGAATTATTTAAGTAAACTTGCAAGTGTAACTGACCTCTTTAATATGCCTTTATCATCGTAACTCCATCGCTGACTTTGAAGTTGAGTTGAAGTCGCAACAGGCGTAAGCGATTTGGATGTGGTGTGATCACACTAAGTGCAAGCGGGCAGAATACTACAGTAGGCTGTTTTATTTTTGTTAGCTTGTCACAAATCAGGTTTTGTATAGTTTTCGTGGCTCTTTCGTTATTTGGGATTAGGCCTCGTATCTACCACTGTTTTCAGGTTTAGCAGGAAGAAGCCGTAGTGTAGATCCTTCCAGATAGTTCAAACATTTTCAAAGTCTATCCATTACAAATTCTGTACATAAGAATCGTTGTGCCTATTCAAAAAAGGTGAACTTGCGGAAAACCGCGGGGCTCCCGCAGCGAATGCTCGTGCAAGTCTAGCACTTTTGGATTAATGATCTACTAGAATTTGTAGCATATTGCGAAAACTGGGTCAAAAGCTATAAAACATATGGTAAAAATGCATGTCTGTATCATTAGGTTGTTACATAAGTTATGTTGCACTTTTTTGTCTTCCACTGCAAACTTTTAGAAATCGGCAAATCTCACCTGCGCCATATATGGGGAAGAAAAGGAGAAGTATCCATTGGCTCATTTTTCGCCTCTACAGAGGTGATCTACAGAATACATGAAGGGAATTTTGTAGCAGCAAACTTTTTTGTACAAAAGCTCTCTCGTTTTTCTATTTCATGAAAGGTTTTTATGGACTTTCGGGAACATCAGTGTTAATACGAAGCCCAATCGAAGGTTTGTGATCTTCATGAAGCAAGTTGGAAATTTGCCAAGACTATTTCTAGACTAAGACTTTTTTTGGAAAATTCAAAAATTGTGATTATTGTGACAAGTATAAATTGAAAACCACAACGTCCACATAATTCAAACTTAGAGAAAACTTCTTCTGAGGAAGTTATAGCCAAAACTTATAACAATCGGGTAGATCCACTTAATATACAGTCGAGTAGATTTTCTGCTCAATATAGTGTGCTTGCACAGAAGGTGAAATGCGGTAAAATTTGCTCGTGAGGAAACAACTTCGACTGTAACGCCTGCCAAATGCGCGCGCAAAATGCCGGCAGTGCTGGCGCAGCTACCTGTTCACGCGCAAATTTCACCGCATTTCATAAACTGTGCAAGCACACTATATTAAGCGAAAATTCTACTCGACTGTAGTTTGCTCGCAATACAGGTGAAATGCGAAATTAGCGCGTGAACAAACAGCCAGCTAGCAATGTGCCGGTATTTTGCGCGCGCAGATGGCCGTTACTGGCATAATTGTTCGTTCAGGCGCAAATTTCACAGCAAAACCTCTTCACCGCAATTTCGGCCCACTATATTGAGCAAAAAAGTTACTAGATTGCATACAATTCATGAACCATATCTTCAGATCTACTGCAGTTACAACTACCCTTTAGATCAGTCAAATACCAATTGGTGCTCAGATTTATTCAAATCACAAATATATATTGCAAGTGACTCTTATTCGATATTTACACAAGCGTTAACTTGTACATCACAGCCGATGTAGGGCGAAGTTCGAGTTCAAAAACATAAGACGAGTTCACCACGCCGCGATCTTCACCTGTCCATAGATCTCGTACATCATAACGTTCACCTTTGGCTATGCCAAGCGTTCTCAAAGTGAACTGCACTACCTGAAAGTAAAGACTGATTATGGAAGTTTTGAGGGTGGGACCCATGACATACTCGAACTTCTAATTCGTTTTTGTTGACCACTGCCAAAGCCAATGAAGTTCGTTCTTGGATTACCGGAGTGACAGGTTTCAGGTAAATTCCTATTGACTTGGTCTGAACATAAGTTTGGATAGGACCATCTAGACATTTTTTTACCGAACCTTACCTTCAAAATTCGTTTTCCCATGACTCCCAGCGGGTCTTGATCAATTGCTATCACTTCACGGTTTAGTAGAATTTCTTTGAATTCGGATCCCAGTGTCCTCAGGTCGTTTGACATAATCAGAGGAGCAGACCAAATGGACCTGTATACATTTGAAATAAATTTTGGAAGTAAATTTTTAATACGGGTCCACTTGCCATAGTGTCATCTGCACCCTTGCTTGGTCCACTGACACATTCGGAAGACCAATGACTAACTGTAAAAGGGCGCCTCATTTTTAGAACTCTAAGGAAGTTTCCCTGACTTATCCGTGTCAAAATTCATTGTGAAAACATACTATTTTCGTAAAAAAAAGCCTTCCTCGACTTTCCAGCAAGGAAAGAGTGTTTAGAAATTTGCAAAAATTCCCGAAATTATCAATATTAGTCTTGCACATATTTTCGCGGACTATCCTTTGTGTTGTGAGTTAAGAAATGATTTGTCTAGACCGATTTGTAATAATTATATCTTTTACGACAGTCCTTTCTTATATCTCGCTTTTGATATTGGTTAGAAAAATTTGACTTCTCCAACGAATTCGAGGTAATTGTTTGCCAAACTTTGAAAGATTCGTAAGTCAAATATGTTATATCTGTATAGAATAAATTTCTATGTATGTATTTTAAATAGAAATCATATGTAGAAGTATTACCATTTGTAGCGAGTATATTAAGCTGAGATTTTTAGGACAAAATTGATAAAATTTGCAGAGGTTTGGAGACAATTCGGGGGAGTTCCTACCATAGTTGGTTAGTGGAGAACAAACTATGTCGGTTGAGCCGTTGTAAAAGTATAAACAAAGAGCTCTAACCATGTCCGGATCGTTCCATCCTCCAGGCTTCTGTGCTTTTGCCAAAACATCCTGATATTTCTCCACATAAGTGATAGTTCGGAGAATCGATTCCCATGATCCTTCAATGTCATCGAAAATTCGCCAAGAGTTGCAAGCTTTTTCTACAGCACCGTAATCCACCTGAACATCGCTAATTTCCAAATATAGCTTTACTGAATCTTGAGAATCACATCATGTTCCCTGTGAGCTATATGGAAGAACAATGGCCAGCCGCATGCATAAACAATGGGCCTTCCGGTGCGATTGAGCGCTTGCGTCATTTTGGGATATCCTTAATGTGTATAATGCAGTGAAGTCATATATATTCTGTCTCAATCACGTAGTCCTTCTTGCGTAAAAACTACGCATTCGCGACGCGAGGCGGTTGCGTGCGCAGCTCCAACCAATGAGGCCGATAATGCGTAAGCCTTACGCGCAAGTGCGACGCGGAGCTCTGGCGCACGCGATTGCGCCAATTAGAAGGGAGTTCGCAATTGACACAGACTGTGCATCAACACTAATTATTTTAGCGATGTAAAGAGGAGTTCGTCTATTATCAGTACAAAAGACATGGTAAGAAATTTATACTTACCCTGCGGCATCAAATCAATATCAACATAACATCCATCTAATTTCAGATAGTCTATGTCCCATGAAGCAAATGTGTCGGCATCGTCCTATAAAAAAAATCGTCCTTGCAAGCGCGCCAAAATTTACCTCAGAAAGTACCAAAGGAAAAATCTATTACCTTTATATGATCAATACTGCCGGGATATCCTGCACATGTTTTCGTGCCAAAATCTTCATAAATTCCAAGCTCCAATTTTCTATCATGCATCTGAACGACGATTTGATTGGAAAGGTTTGGACATGCTTTCCAGCAACTCTTGAAAGTCAGATCGGAAAGGACTTAAGTGTAAATGTCAAAAAATCTTACGTATTTTGCAAGAGCTTTCATTCCACTAGGAAAGCGTTCTCGATCCGCTACAAGTTTTCCATGCTTATCCCTTGAAAGTTCCATCCAACAGTCGTCAATATGTATACGATTATAGCCGGCAGCTCGAAAGCCATCACTAACTAAAAAAGTCCGCGGTAAATCTTTTCCAAAATAATCTTTCAAACGCGGTAAGTTTTCCAAACAGCAAACCTTTTTTGGTAGATCTTTCTAGCTCATTTTACAGAGATCTTTTGCGAAATACTAGAGGACATCAAAAGTGCTCACTTTATCGGCTTTTCATAAAAAGAGAAAGATTGCTTTTTTCCGAATTTTTCGGTACAATCTTGCTGTACACGGCCGTTAACGGCTACTGAAACACATCCTGTCATTTTTGAGAATTTAGTGCAACTAGGGTGAAAAAGAGATTCCTGAGTTTTAATCTCTTATATTCAAATCAGGGGCATGAGTTGCATTGAAGAAAGATCCACAACGAGGAAAGAATATGTCAGAAAAACCTTCTTTTAATCTGAGAAATTTCCGAGAAAAATTGTTTTCTTCCAAAAGCTAGGATTGAAAAAGAGGTGGAAAAACTTATATTAATCATGAGTCCTAATAAAAATTTTTTTGTCGAATAGCGTTTCATGTCCTCTTGCTCCACCTTTTCTCAGTTTCTCCTCTCTGCACTAAATCATCCAGAATTGCTCGAATCTTACACTCACCAAGTTTATCAGCCATCTCCTTGTAGAGCTTTTCATTTATGCAGGCATTTGGATGCTTTTCGCAGTCAACTTCGCAAAAGAACGTCGCCCATGACATCCATCCCATCGGAGGAGTTCTAAATACTCAAAAATTTCTTTTAAAATTTACAAGAAAAACAGAAACGAAGCTTGCCTGGCTAGTCCATTGTCGAGGGCGAGCAACGCAGAAATTGAGAGAGATAGAATGAATGTGCAAAGTCCGATCATTTTGATGGTATCTATCCGCTATCTATACTATCGCAGTCGAGAAGTATTGAAATATCGGCAATAACTCTGAATTCGGTACATATTGATGTGAACAGCATGACTGAGAATATGCTATGTCATTGTGAGAGCTTTTTCATCATATTTTGAAAATTTTCACTTCTTGCCATGGTACAAATCTGCTTCCTCTGGATTCTTTCGAAAGGATAGATTTCTGGTCTCGTAACAGAGACCCGTAGTAAAACCCTTTCTAGCGCAACTCGGCTGGGGGAGGATCTACGTTGAACCTAGATCGCCTCAGTCTTGCATCCAGTGAGCTATTGATCTGGATGCGGATCGCTTTTTAGACATAGAAGTCTTGAGCGCTCTCAAAAACGAAAGTCTTTGAATGGGTTTGATCGGACTAAGTGAATGAAAGCCGACGCGGAAGGCGATGGTTCGAGGCCTGTCAGTGAGTTATTTTTTGCGCGATTATCATTTTGATAGCGGCCACTATCGAAAAATCGATGGTGGTCCCTATTAAGGATATCGCCTAGCAAATAGATGGATTCAAAATTACGATATTTAAACGAAGATATCATGGAATTGAGAAACTCGGCGCACAAACGGAATGAACAAAGTAAATGAATTTTCATTTTTTGCACTTTCGAACAAACCTAAGCGAACTCCGCAAAAAGAAAAAACCTTTTCTTCCTATTTCCTCGCCGCAATCAGCTATTTAACGGTGCTCACCTTCTTGGGCCCCGAAATTGTGCAGATTTATGAGTTTTGCACCGCAATAATACCTCAACTGGATTGTCCCGTAAGTTACTCACAACTTACGGGAACTTTGTCCGATTCTCTTCTCTTGCACACTATCTCCCTCGGTTCACCCTAAAACCTGTCCTCGAATAAGTGGTATTCTGTTGAACTGACCGTAGCACTTGGCAGAGCAGTCTTTTGACTGCTCAACTGACTATCCTAAAGCACGGGAGGGTGGGCGGTCTTAGTTTTACCCTAGTAAGTTCCTTTGAATGATTGCTCAGACGAATGGGGTTCACTACAGGTCAGAGAAGAGTTTCTAATGTGAAACGGTCACAAAGGCACCTGCGAAAGAAGATGAAATGAGAAAGAGAAATGCGGAAAGCCAAAAGGTGCTTTTCAAAATGAAACGAGAACTTCTGGGATGGCCTGATAGGTAATGCCAACGTTTGTTACAAAACCTTGAAGTCGATCTGCTGTTCATGAGAGAACTAACGGTATAATAACACTTTCTACACTATAGCTTCACGATCAGCTGCTTTCACAAATGTGGAAGAAATGGACAGAATCTTCGAAGACTACTAACAAAACATATGCGTGGCGAATTTATATACAGCAAACTATAATTAATCTTAAGCTCCAACGAAAATTCCTAATGATCACTTTGCACTTTCACATTCGGTTTTTTTCCGCGCTGGAACGTGAAGAGGAAGTTTGCAGGTTTGGAACTGCAGCGATATTTTTTATTTATTTGCTATTTATTTTGTTCTGAATGGCAGAATAGATTAGTAAAATCAAATCATGATCTATTTCATAATTTTTTTTTCGTAAACAAGTGAACAAATTCAAATTGTTTTCACTTGCAAAAACGGCCGAAAATTGTAGTCACTAGGATTAGGAGTTGTTACGACTTAGTAATAGTTATAAAGATTGGTATTAAGGCTAGCATGTTGTTGGTGTCATGTGATGCTCGATCAGTACCGATCAACCAGAACCTGGATTTTTTTTTCATTCATAAATGAATTTCACAAGGAGAATCACTTAGGAGGCCTGCGAGGCAAGAGCAGAATTTACGTCTATAAAAGAAATGACTTGCTTCACTTGTTATATTATGCCGTACAGGCACTTATATTAGGTTGTCTCATGATTTTTTACCGTTTTTACCCTAAACATCAGCATTTCTCGACAACTAAGGCACCTACAAAGAATCCAAATACATGATCATACTTCTGTATGTATGAGCTATATGATTACATGCATGGGAGGAGCTCAGGACATCTAGGGGCGGAGTTTGCCATTTTGCCTCATTCATTTTTTTTCTTTATTTCTAGCCAGGGAAAAAATTCGAAAAGTGTATAGTCGAATGTGCGATGTGTAAAGCATATGCTAGAATATATCGGGAATTTTTTGGATATTTTGAGTCGGAGATACGATTTTTTAAGAAAAGTTCGTTTTTGACTACTATCAGATTTCGGCTCAGAACTTCCCGTGGGATACGATTTGGACAGATTTTTGATAGCGTTCTTGTAGAGCTTGCTTTGCTCTGTCGAATGGTTACTCAAATCACATCAGATGAAGGAAAGATACAGAAAAACGGCGTGTGCAATAAAAACGCTAAAAAAAATTATGAGACAACCCAATAGTTAATATACTGTCTGACGTTTCGGCAAGACGCCGCTGCCTTTAGAGGCTGAAAAGGGTCAATCACCCTTCCTCCATATTTTTCCGCCGACTTGCCACTTGATTCGTCTTGAGTAGAAGCAGGGATTAGAGCGAAGGTCCACCTTTCGCCGTCGCTGTGGATTACAGCTGCTTCAGATGTGTTTGGTCGAGTGCAGTGCACCGGTGTGTCAATGCGACTGACGCTTTTCAGCCTTTAGAGAAGGCGCTTACCGAAACGTCGGGCAATAAAGTATATCACCTATAACAACCCGTACGATACAATAATTATTTTGCTTATTCTATTTTATTCAATACGCTCTTGACGTTCCTTACAAACGAACAAAAACTCACAGTCAATTATGAACAACTAACTACAAGAATAGGTTATCATTAGTTCGGGTCTAATCTTTTGGACTAAACTAGTATTAAGGTGAACGGTTGAAATGGGACACTTAGAGAATAAACGTAGATTTCTCAAGAAAGAAGTGATTGAACTTCGCGATTTTGATTGTTACTGGAAAATACTATTTTCTTTCAGATGATACCTATATAAGATTACTTACATACCTAATAATTTAAATACTTGCTCAAATGCAAATTCAGTCATTTCGACAATTTATGAGCTTCAGGCAGTATCAGCGCAAAGAAACACGTGAAACCATTGAAAACACTACTGCTGCAATGGGTAGTGAGACTTACCAATCTCACGTTGGCTTGCTGGCCTCAGCGCTTAAAATTAGGAGATATTGTCATTAGCAATTTTGAAAACGAAGGTATATGTTATTTACTGCTTCTCAAGTGAACGCAATTTTTCGGCTACCTTCTGATATTGACTTTACGCTTTATCCATCCATATGCAGTTTACCCCAGTTTTCGTCTATCTTCGGAACTTTTTGATTTTGATTGAAGCATGATTTTTTGGCTATTGTTGCGCCAATTTTTCAAGTTTTTTGCTTTTTTATCCCCGGAAATAGAAAGGAATTCGATATATTTGATAAACCATTTGAAAGAGCATGAAGAGCTTACTCGATTGGTATGTTACTTGCTTTATGACCTTACAATATAGCAGCTCAAGGTTGAGAGATGTTCAAAAAACCCAGTCCGAGTTCTTTAAAGGCAGCGTCCGGGCAAAAAGTCGATTTTGAGATTTTGTGCTTACCCGGGCCTACTCGCTATGCTGAATCCGAAAATTACCACTAGAGAGTGCGAAAACGGCGAACAAGGGGTTAACGAAGGAGGAAAATCAGCAGGGGGCGGAGCGTCCGAGAGGGTGAATTCTCGCTCCCAGTTTCCGGAGCAATCTTCTCGGTTCCTTTAGTCGCCCTAACATCGCTACCGGCCAAGTACAAACGAGTGATTTGAGATCGGAACCGAGAAGGTTGCTCCGGAAGCTGGAGAATCCACCCTCTCGGACGCTCCGCCCCCTGCTGATTTTGCTCCTGCGTTAGACTCCTCTTCGCCGTTTTCGCGCTCTCTAGTGGTGATTTTCGGGTTCAGCATAGCGAATAGGCCCGGGTAAGCACAAAATCTCAAAATCGACTTTTTGCCCGGACGCTGCCTTTAAAGCGCCGCGCGGAGGGTTGTGGGAGAGGAGAATTAATGCGTTAACAGAATGATAGGCAGAGGACGACGCTTGAGTTGCAGCCTTCTTGCCGTCGATCAAGACAAAAAATCTCAATCGTAATAAAAATTAAGCTATCTCATTTCTGCCATTCACCCTAATAAATATGATAATACGGCTTGTATGTGACTGCTAAATGACTACAAGTTCAGCATTGAATGAAGGTGATCATGGAGATGGTACCCGTACCTCCCATTATTTGCCAGCAAAACGATTTTGAGATATCCTAACAAGTAAATGATATTCAATACAAAACACACAATATAATAAGTGAAACTATTCATCACTAAGAACATGGTAAGGTTCAAAGATAAGATGACCTATAACAAAATTAAACCTATTTCTTGGAAGGCCAGCTATATTTTGTCAACATTTCATCCCAAAAAAGCTTGAAACGAGGGCTCTATGCATAGCCTTTCTTGAAATTTCTGGTACAAAAAAATGGCCTTGTAAACTGAGATTAATTGTGGGAAAACTTGAGTGAATGCAAGAAGAAATATTCACATGTACTCAAGTACAGAAAGTGTAAGCTTATACAAGGATGCACTAAAGCAAGTACTTTGTAGTTTACACTAAAGAGATAAAGCTCGGCAATAAAGTTTATGAAAACCTGCACGTGCCTCAATTTGTTGAAATATTGGCGGCCAAGCATGGCTTTACTGATATAAACACTTAGTTTGCAAAAAAAAAGTTACTCACCTCAGTACGACAATCTCAATACACACCTTTTCCAGCAAGAAGTCCTGTTAATAGCAACAACAGGCAAAGTAAATTGATACCAACGGATAAGTTCAAGATTGCATGCGCCAACTCAAGTTCATGAACTCATGCTCATTTACCGCTGTGTAATATCGACGATGTCTGTGTGACAAAAACAAAAAAAAACATTCTTTCATTACATCAAGCGACCAATGCATGCTACATGAATTTTTGCAATTACATCCTTTTTGATGCAGGAAAGGTTGGCGAAAATGTTGAAGAAGTTGGAACAATGAAAGATGGACCAAGAGATCAGATATCGTTTCTCATTAGGTGTTTGTAAGTCGTCGAATTTCAGAAATGGCATTAGCATCAATCAGTCTACTGCAAAGATTTGCTGTTTTTTCTACCAATACCAATTTTGTATTCGTTGCATGCACATGAAAAACGTTATGCGTTAAGAAGAGTTGGTTTTGGACGGCTTTCAAAGTCGCCGTCTAAATCACTTATGTGAATCAAGAATCTCGTCAAAGTCACTAGCAAGACTTTTTCGGGAGAGATCAGAAATTTCCAAGATTTTCATGCATCTTTGCTGTATGTGATGATTATTAGCTATTTTCATAAAGTCTGTGCAAAAAATGAGATTCTGATTTGTGTAGCGCATGCACCTCTTATAATTACAACAAACATGAACTCAACAAAACAAACATTTTAGATCTTACCCACCAAATTTTCGGCAATTAAAGTAAGTTTAATCTCCAATTTTGAAGTGTTTAGGTATTCACACTGGGAGTCTAATATACCCAAATATATTTTGTGTAATATTCGTACTTCAGAGAATCCGAGAATTCACAGAAATTGTCTAATTACGCACTTTTCAAAGAAAGGGTAAAAGAACTAAGGACTTCTAGAACAAATGGATGAGAATATCGTATTCGCATGTGTACACTTTATCATATACTATTCGATTGACTATATGAATGCGTAAATGCGGAGCTCCTAGCGGTGTACATTTGCCTCTTTTACATAATCTACATGATACTTGGGCTATCGCTAGCGCGCTCTGAGGTCACGACGGGAGTACTCCTGTTTGAAGATGAGGTTGCTATAAGTTCGGATGACCTTCTCATTTACTTTGAAATATACGAACGCTCACTCTTCTTCTATAATATTTTTAGAGGCTTAGACTTCATCCTTTAATTTGATTTTTGCTAATTTTGAAGCTTCCTTGGGAACTACTGACGAGGTCACCAACTCAGACAATCGCTGGGGCAGGCGGGCACCGGAAAAATAGATTGCTGATTTCTCGCACCCCGCTCGCGGATTTTTTGCAAAGCAATCAGGACTTTTCGGAAGACCGCTTGCTGAGTCAGCGGATTTTTGAGAGACCACCTGTTGAATTTTTTTCGCTCTTATCTTTTGCAGATATATTGCTGAATCTCTGAGGAATCGAGAACTCAGCAAGCGGTCTTCCGAAGTCCTGATTGCTTTCCAAAAAATCCGCGCGCGGGGTGCGAGAGATCAGCAATCTTTTTTTCCGGTGCGCGCCTGCCCCCGGCGATTGTCTGAGGAGGTTGCACTACCGGTATAGTTCTAAGTTCCGAAACCGGATAGTGCGATAAACGTACAAAGCAGCGGATTTTCTATGTTTTTAGCTAAATTTTATCAAGTGCTTTTAACTACTAAAAACGTAAAATATCTTATATTGCAAATTTCTGCAAACCCTGTTCGATAGACGATGTTTTAGAATTTCTGTGTTGTCTCTGCATAGAGATGAAAACGTGCGGCAAATGCGCTTTGAATTTCCCTTGTTGCTGTCTTTTCGCTCAGAGCATCCCTGAAAAAAAAACGAAAAAAATGTCAAGGTTAACAAAATGTAGGAATTAGAATTGCGACATTCTTTGAGAAGAGGGCCATACCTCTTGTTTTCTAAAAATAGGGGGACTCTACGATGGGTAATACCAGCGGTTGACGGTGGGACGTGGGGGATACCCCTCCTGCGACTCCGTAGGTCCCGTTTATTCAAAGGTAAACTAAGATTCAAAAAATTCTTTAAACACTAATAGGGTCTGTCATGAACCCTGGCAGCAGCCCTGCCGAATCATTATCTCCCAAACTCTCCAGGGTAAGGACCTGCCGACTGGAGAGTTAGTCAAGTGTTCTAAAAAAACTGTGTCTTGCGATGATGATAATTATTTTATGTTTACACAATTTCATAAAAGTAGGATAAACAATAAATACACATTAGATAATTTCGGAAATAATCACATGACAACTGCATGTTGCTCCTAACATAAAAGGTTATGGAAACATATCTGATATCAATAATCCTCTCTTACATAAAGACACCCATCCTTACTACAGCTTAAAAATCATCAAAGACAGAATACGCAGCAAAAATAGAAACAAGAATAAAAACAAAGAAACATTAGACATCTTCGTTAATACTATCAACCATACAATCACCTATCATGACATTTTCAAATATATTCATTCTTTAAAGAAAAACTTCATAAAACAAATAATCATGGCATCCTTTGATTCCGAATTTACAAACAAAATAGAACAGAATAAAAAATTAACTACATTGAGTATTCTGTGTAAATATATGTTTCATAATGACAAAAAAGAAAAATCAAATACTAAATTTATAAATGTTAAAGTTGAATACATTCACCAAATATTAGATCAAGTTAATTTGAATAAAATTATTAATAGCACTTATATAAAGAACATTTTGGAAAACCCTAATGTAAAATACAATCCCTGCAGACTGGTATACATGTACAAAGAGCCAATATCACAAAAAATCTTTAACTACAATTCTATCCTAAATAAACTTGACGAAGATAAGTTAAAACAAATTCTGTCAGAAAAATGCAATTGCAAAGAACCTGATAAAGAAAAATTTATTGACAGCAACCACGGACATATAATTACTGGAAATCTGGATATGATCAAAGACAAGCGTTTGAAATGAATAATGAGTAAAGGCACTAAATATAGACTACAACAAAGCACCAATAAAAAAGAAGTACTTGAATGGATTCAGGCAACTATAGAAATGATTATGAACACATATATCAAAAAATACAAAATAAGCAATGAGAAACTCATCAACATAAAAGAATACCTTTCAAAAAAATTTCTACATAGATTAAAACCACTTCTTTACAAATCAAGATTAAAAAACAAACATAGTTATGATTTCAATTCCAAATACTTCAAAGAACTAAGAAATAATTTCGTGATATGTCCATTAGATAAAGCCAACAATAATTTTGGTCTGATATGTATCAAATTTTATATACAAAAATTGATGAATGAACTAGGCATTAATTTACTAGGACCAAATTTACAATTTTCACAAAATTCAACGTATGACATATACACAATGGAAAATAATACAGAAATTATCGAAAGACACAAAATTTTTTGCAATAGCAATAAATTACATTTAGAAAAAGTTAACAACATTCCTCTCATATATGCAGTTCCAAAATTACACAAAACACCTACCAAATTTAGATTTATAACTGGTGCTACACATAGCGGTATAAAACCACTAGCTATCGAATTGAAAATGATTTTCACATTCATTAAAAGTCATCTCAAAAAATACTTGCAAGCTATAAAAAATAAAAATCACAATTTTAACGGATACTGGGCTATAGATAACATTAACATCAGCGAAAATCTAACAAATATCAGCATGAAAAATATGAAGATTTTCTCTGCTGATTTTACAAATATGTTTACAAGCCTACCCCACGATATTATAAAATCCAATATAAAAGAACTTTTACAACTATGTTTCAAAAATGCAAATGAAAAATACATTATAATCAATGGAAACAATAACATTTATTATAGCAGCGATACGACACATTTGAGTACAAAATCCAGATCTTATACTTTAGTAGATTTACTATATTTAGTAGACTATCTTCTAGATAATAGTTTCTGTCGCTTCAGCATTTATACATTAAAACAAAAAGTTGGAGTTCCTCAAGGTGGTAACTTCAGCCCACTATTAGCAGATCTTACACTTTCTTGGTACGAATATAGGTATTCTATGAAAAATATCACAAACAATTTCCAAATAATACCTTATAGATATATGGATGACCTTTTACTTATTCATAACATAGAAGAAAATACTATCCACAAGTTAGTCAAAAATTTACGAGCATAAATTTCAAATAGAAGCTACACACTCAAGTACTTATACCTGTAACTATCTCGACCTAAACATTGAAATAATAAACAATAAATTGATTACAAATCTATATAATAAAACTGACTATTTTAATTTTAACGTTAAAAGATTCATACATTCTACATCTAGTATCTCGTTCATCATTAAAAAAGCAACCATATATACAGAAACTCTCAGAATAGCAAGAACATGTACATACTTAAACGATTTTTTGCAAAAAATCTCACAACTCAGAGATATACTACTTAAAAATGAATATGACATAAATATAATATCATCATCAATTTTCAAATGCTTAAATAGAAATCCATTCATACTATATAAATACAATATATTCAATGATGAATTTAAGAAACTGAGTCAAAAAAATATATTATAAAATATAAACATAAATTGTATCAACCGATATATATGAAACGAATTATGAATGATATATTCAACACTAATGATAATACAATGAAAATAAACAAGTCAAGACAAGTCCATTCTTACTTTGCAACACAGAAGATCACACGACAGAAAAGAAGAATTGGACGACAATCGGAGTATAAGTTGAGTTTTACAATTTTTTCAAAATAATTTCTTTGGAAAATAAAACTAAACCCTCTCTCCTTACTGAAGAGTCCCGGAGAGGGTCTAGATCTCAAAACTCCGTCTAAGGAAAGGGACGAAACGGAGTAACAGATTAAAAAACTATCTTTCTTGTTATTACGAGCTTATTGTGAAACGATGAAACAGACAAAACGAAATGCACCGCAACCCAATAACTCTTAGCCTAAATGTAACAATCTTGCACCCAGGTATCAAAACATATATGATGACCATAAAATAAGATGTCACTAAATGATAACGTGC